CGCGTACTAACTATCCGAATTTGAATGGCACCCGCTCCCCAAAGAGTTTTCTTGACTACAGGAAAAGTCGAATTTGTGTTAACACGTAGCTATCGGTTTACAAGCCACAGACCAGATCTGACGAGACCTTCCAAAGATGAGTTACTTCCTTCTCCTTCTCATGATGGTCGAACAGTTCAGAAGCAATTGATCATGTATCGTCAGTAGGTACAAATCGATAGTAACAGAACTGTGCCAGGTGTTTGAGTACGCTTTTAGCGGATGCCTTCAGAAAGTCTAGGAGATATCGGTCGATTCGGCTCCTAGCCATATCAGTATATGTATTAACGCACTAGAGCAAGGCTCCGTCGGATGAAACGATAGAAATATCAATACCAATTGTTGCATTTTAATTCGCAATCTTAGAAAGCAAATTGGAACTCAGTTTCGCTAATAGAATTACACGTATACTCTGTGACCTGTGGTGAAAAGGCTTCGTCATATAATAGCTCAAAAATGCACTTTCATGTTACGCTGTTTTGTTTGGGAACGCTAGCCCGCAGAAGAAACACAGTGGAAGTGCCTATTACGCTGACGAGGATTTACTCACAGTGACTGACCGTAAATAGATAAGGTTGTCATGAGCAGCATATAACCGAAGGGAACAATCTTGCATCAGTGGGCTTAAATGGGCCCAATGACCTCATTGGTCTTGGGTGTAGTGAAGCTGACACACTCAGAACTCAGGCCCTAGGTACTGTTTTCAGGCTAATAAAAAACAAACGCATTTGAAGGTCATGCAAATGGGTTAGAGCTAAAGCACATCAACGAATAAACTTACACGCATAGGAGTGACTTACATGGGAGGTAATGGACGCACAGCTCGCAAAGATATGCAGATTTAAGACCGCACATGTTTTCCTTGTTTGGGTTTCGATTCGTACTGATCAATGTTTCACGCTTTCAGATATACACCACCCGCCTTTGTGAGGTTATGGGGAACAATACAATATACTTGATATTCCTCAGTTTATAGCGAAAAAAACCCTAGCCACCCGGTGCGCAGTTGTATTCATTTGAAGCGCTTTTACATCACTTGTTTCAATATGTACATAATAAAGTGCTCAAGATGGCTCAATAGGTATTGCGGCGACGGTATTTAACACCAGCGTTGCAAGTAATGAGATACAAAACGCGACGGTGTCGCGCACGAAAATCCTCGGGTGGCCAGATACGCAGAACAGTGATATTTGGCATCCTGTCCGAACCCAGTAGGGTGTAGAACAAGCCTATGGATTTGAACCGGGTCTCGGTTAAATGGAACTATCACGAATAAGGTGAGTGCAAATTACTGTTGGAAACCGTTTAGCAGAGCAACCGAGTGACCAGCAAATACAGCGACCATTATCATCAATTACACATTCCACAGATTCAACGTGTCGAATGAAGCTCAGTTGTATGCCAGCGATCAGCTCCAAGGTAAACGTGACCTGTATGCGGTAGCCGCCTGGTCCATGCATTAGAGGTATGATTTCCGACCAATTTTCAGTCGGCTGCTGGACCGAGGCAATACCTCTTTTCACACGTACGCAGTAGACACGGAGTAAGGCTTGCAGCTCCCGCCTCACGAACCAGAGGTCAATCTCATCTCCAATACTCAACCAAGCAGCCCTAAATTGGCTCGTAGTTGCGAAATTTGTGGAAACTTACGTCCACGTCACTTGCTTGAAAGTTTACCTGCTGTACTCTGGCGAATCCATACCAAACAAGGGAAGCACTCTACATAAATTTAACTAATCGGAACTCCGCAGTGCATGTCGTTGACCGTGGCGGAATTGGAATTCCGGACATGCGAGGCGAATGTGTCACTACTACTCTACTAGTGCCGAACACTGATTAGTTGTAAGCGGTTGAGATTCGCAGAATAATTACATTCAATCACGAAAGCACGAAGACCGTACAGACTTCCGGTCGACCGTAGTTGTTTTCACCCCACGTTGCTATGTCACGGCCTGTTGCCTGTGGAATTTATATAAGCGTGGGTTTCATATAGGACGATGGTTGGACACATGTGACGCGGAAACTGCGAACAGGTGCATTGCTGTCAAAGATGTGCACAACGGACACAGGAACCATATGCATACGGATCTCTCGAATGTCACAGAATTATGGGTTTGCTCTTTTGAAATTATCTCACTACCTAAACAATAGACGTGTCCAAATGCACTCATTTGCGAATTATTTTGATGTCAACGAGACTCAGGTGAGTCGTTTGTTTAATATTGCTCAACTCAATATGCTACACATTGAGGTATATTTCCTTCACACAGCACACTAATTTGTGTAGCATAAACAAGGCTCACCTGGGATTGAGTTCCCCCATCTACACTACAGCAATTTCCAAATGAGTGTATTTAACGAGGTGGAGATGGGGTTGACAGAAATCCGGGGACCAGGTCTGCCTGATGAACCACATGGTGAAACCAGCCGCGGACCGTTAAAGGGATTTAAGCAACCTAATGACCTCCCAGCAACGTCAAGAAAGCTATTTATGAACATGTACATCCGAATTTTGACCGGTAAATCCAAATAAACTTAGCCTTCTTAATGCAAGACTCCCTTGTACGGTTAGGAATATTTCCACCCATCCATTAATCAAACCCGGAATTCCAAAGACTTGGTACTGATTAATCCCGTCGATCACGTAGTCCCACCTTGCTGCTTGTCTAAAAGAATGATAGAATTCGTATGAGTCGTGGCAGTAACGCAGTACCGTAATGTGAGAAGCGACCTGCTAGCCGAGCAGCCATTGTAGCCGAAACTGCATGCACGTGTTGGAGCAGTGAAGGACTGGGTGTTAGTGAACGGAGAGCGGTGATAGCACAGAATAATGTCTGAAACAGGCATATATGAATACCTTTGCGCATTTCCCATGTTTCCAAACGTCAAGATGGTATCTCCGCTGCACCAGAGTTCTTGATTAGAACTTACAGCATTTATTGCTCAAAGCGCTGCCCCTGGAGATATGGTGATGGAAAAGGGATTAACGTCCAAGTTCTACCAAATTCACACAAATTTACTTCTGTTCCCTCAGAGTAAGAGTGGTACCGGCCTCCTCAAATACCATTGATGAAATGAGTACGGAATGTTCATCCTCACTGGAATGTTGCCGCTAGGGAGACCCACCTCTAGGTGCAGTGAAACACCCAGGGGTTTTAGCCAGTGTGGCGTCCACTAGAACCGTCATCATCGACAGCACATCGTATCCAACACTGATGATTTGCTGCCGCACAACCCCTAAGTCACTTAGAAGCCCTGTTCTGAAAAGAAAAGTGGACGGGGAAGGGAATCATCGCTGGTCTCTAATAATCATTCCGAAGTGCCCACACCCCCAGACACTCATCCAGGATCACGTGCACCCATCCTCAAAGTGATTCACACATGTGACTACTCAGAAGCCTTACCGAACGGCCAATAGTCTCTTCACCTTATTTCGTGCCAGAGCCCAGTACATGCCTTTAACGAAGACCAGCACGTGCTGAAATTAGACACCATGTTGGTCTCGGCGATGAGTCTGGTGGCAATACAACTAGGTTACCTTTCAGTAGGGCAAAAATGTGACCTGACCTGAAGCGGTTACTAGGTGGCAGTTGAGACACTAAAGGAGTCAAGCCGCTTGAGTGCCCACATCTGCCCACTACGATCGTAGTCCACAATCCAAATGTTCCGGCCCCGCGGTGTTCAGTGCACGATTATTGCAGCAACGAGCCACTATCACCTTTCGAACAGCCGCATGGACTGGGAAACTGCCTTTAATCCTAACCTTTCAAAAACTGAGTGTGCAGATGTGAACTCTCCGGAAGTCACATGGATTGCGAGATACATAGGCTGTGAAGATGGCAGGTGTAGTCTTTAGACTTGTCGATATTGCCAACATCCACGGAACCATCAGACTCTTCTGGCGAGTTGGCCACATGCCACCCGCAAAAAACAACCGCTATACACAATAAACTCATGGACCACGGGATCGATCTCTTCATATCCGATTCATTTCGCCGAAATCCCTTGCCTCGGTCCTGATGTTCAAACACAACGAAACTTACGGCTTTTAGTTTCTCTCTGAATTACACTGATATAACAATTTGATAGTTGCAATAGCTGAAAAAACCGCACACCTGATTTAACACCGATGAGACTGAGTCCGGCGAAAATCAAACGGTGTCATAGCTGATTTCCCAGGCGTTAGCTTTCGCACGCAGTCTTCCAAACAATTCCCACATGGCAAGATGTTTCCAACTAAAAACAGTGGGATTTCCGTAATGGGATGTCCGTTAATTCGATTATATAGCAGTTACTACACGACATCGATGGTCAGGAGCGTAGCTGATGTGTCTCCCTTGCTCCAGGTTGCTACATATTTTAAAACACGTGGAATTTCCTCAACCCATTAATTTGTCTTAAAAATATCCGAAAGTTGGTATGCGCACGGGAAAATGAAAAAAAAACCGTCCACCCTTTCGATGCCCAATTGCCATGCAACAAGGAAGCACGAGGACCGGAACACTGCCAGGTTGCCCAGGCCTAGACAGGGGAATTCGGGAGGAATAGGTCGGGTTCGAACCAGGGACCCCCCGGTCAGCAAACTCGAGCTATAACCACTTAAATATCTCGCCCATGGAAGATTTCATAAGGTTTTTGTACAAGGCCAGTAGACGTTCGAAGATTAAGGGTTCGTACCAAGGCAATTCGGGAACTACGATGAACGTCACGGACAAGTTTATAGGCTAGATTCGATAGTAACGCTGCAGTCAGGTTCTGTGATGCCTATTAACCAGTGGGCAGAGATGGCAATCCTCCCAAAACAGTCGCAAAGCGAACAATAGCACCAAATCAAAGGCGTCTGGGCAATCCGAGTGCCAAGTAGGACTTGAAACGACACGTTAACGAATTAGCCGGAAGAACGACTACTCGGCCGTTACGTGGAAAGGCTGGGATGCATTGGTGTAAAAAGCACCGCGGAACGCCGATTAACACTAGTTGTATTCTGAACCAAAACTCGACTACTGAGGCATTCAAAACGCACAAGACTTACAAAAGCAAGATGACTGGATGCGTGTATTAGGAATCGACAAGAAGTTCGTATGGATAAATGAGCAGAAATAAAGCCGAACCAAGTTGAACAAACAAGTCCGGAAGCGACACAAGCTACTCCTTATGGTCCATAGTCAAATATGAAGCACGTCAGATGGCATCTATATCAATTTCATCTTCGCTTTCGGTACCGTCCTTCGATTCGGTGGCAGGGGGGCTTTCCTTGGGCTCGACATCTACCGTTGCCTCGGATGTACCCTAGTATGCAGCCAAAGATTAACTACCGGATGGGAACTTACGTTTGACCTTGCATCGGGCACTTCATCGTCTGCCTCAGAGTCTTCAGATTCTTCTTCTGCCTCCTGTAACCATTTAACCATTGGGGCACAGTGTGACAAAATCTTTGAGCTCAATTCCCGAGAGACAAACTTCTTAGAAGGCTAAAGGCAAGATAAAACACAAAAATGGATCATACCCCTTTTTCATACCACGCAATGATAACATCCTCCTCGATGATGTCATTATCATACAAAGCCTTCAGTATATGACATGCCTTAGAAAGTAAGTTGTGTTCTGTGTGCCGTTCAATCAGTTTGGCCATGGCACCCAAGACATATTGTTGGGCGCGCTTTTCGTTTCCTCCAACTCTGGTGAACAGTAAGAAAACGGGCGCAAACTTCTTGATATCCCCTATGATTGCGGTAGGGGAAGACAGGAGAGCTTCAGCGAGCACCAGAACGGCACGAGGACCCAGTTCTAGACTATCAGCTTGCTGTCGTATGTCCCGACGGTGCGTCAGTACAGCATTTTTGCGTTGTAGCTGGAGCAAATGCTTATAAAAGACGTCAGCCTTTTCGCTTTCTGATTTGTCAACATCAACGCTCAGGGCCAATGACTGGGCCATTGCTGATAGTTCACTCATTCGTTGCAGTTGTGCCTCTTCGGTCGTGTCTTCGCCCCAGTCATCATCATCGCCTTCGAGCGCGGTTGCAGTAGGACTGTAGCCACTGTTTTCGTCACCAGCGGTGCTGACTTCATGGTCATCTGAAGAGAACGATTAAATTTATACTCATAATACCTGAGGTTCTCTCGCCATTCTTTCCTTTCTTCCCCTTTTTCGGTTTTGCTTTATTCGAAGACGTATCGGGCTCTGGAGGGTTTTTGACAATGTATTGGGTCAGACGGTGAGCTACATCCAATTGACCTTGGCTGCCGCAGGCTTTACAAGTGGTCCCAACTGTTCCAGTCTTCCTATTGACGTGCTAAAAACATTAACATGGAAAGCGAACGCACCATAGTGGTTTCCGGATTTCCACAACCTTGACATAAGACGAACTTCTTGATGAAACCATCTAACAGCTCCTGAAGCTTAGTGGCTTCGTGTGCGCCGTTTACGATATACCGCTCGTTTTTATCATCCACATGAATCTGAGCCCCCAACTCGCAGCCGAAAAATTTCGTCAAGTCTGACATGAACAGTAAACCGAAATTCAACTTACATATTGGTTTACGGTTCAAAGCTTTGGCAATATCAGAAACGTTAACAATCACCGTCTTAATACCATTACCTTTGCCCTCTACCTGGAACAAAATATAATGAAAGTAGACAAGGTACCTTGGCGTTAAGCTTCGGCATTTTGTACCTGTAAAAGGTATCTTCAACCTCTCGATTGATGTTGACCGCCATTGTGGATGACACGAACTACCATCTGCCTCTCGAAAATTGCAGCCTTCAACCATGAAACAGGGTACGGTCCCGGGCTAAAATTGAGATAGAAAATTGTAATACATTACCCCTATGGGTTCGGAAGTAACACGGGAATCATAATTGCCATGCAACAAGGAAGCACGAGGACCGGAACACTGCCAGGTTGCCCAGGCCTAGACAGGGGAATTCGGGAGGAATAGGTCGGGTTCGAACCAGGGACCCCCCGGTCAGCAAACTCGAGCTATAACCACTTAAATATCTCGCCCATGGAAGATTTCATAAGGTTTTTGTACAAGGCCAGTAGACGTTCGAAGATTAAGGGTTCGTACCAAGGCAATTCGGGAACTACGATGAACGTCACGGACAAGTTTATAGGCTAGATTCGATAGTAATGCTGCAGTCAGGTACTGTGATGCCTATTAACCAGTGGGCAGAGATGGCAATCCTCCCAAAACAGTCGCAAAGCGAACAATAGCACCAAATCAAAGGCGTCTGGGCAATCCGAGTGCCAAGTAGGACTTGAAACGACACGTTAACGAATTAGCCGGAAGAACGACTACTCGGCCGTTACGTGGAAAGGCTGGGATGCATTGGTGTAAAAAGCACCGCGGAACGCCGATTAACACTAGTTGTATTCTGAACCAAAACTCGACTACTGAGGCATTCAAAACGCACAAGACTTACAAAAGCAAGATGACTGGATGCGTGTATTAGGAATCGACAAGAAGTTCGTATGGATAAATGAGCAGAAATAAAGCCGAACCAAGTTGAACAAACAAGTCCGGAAGCGACACAAGCTACTCCTTATGGTCCATAGTCAAATATGAAGCACGTCAGATGGCATCTATATCAATTTCATCTTCGCTTTCGGTACCGTCCTTCGATTCGGTGGCAGGGGGGCTTTCCTTGGGCTCGACATCTACCGTTGCCTCGGATGTACCCTAGTATGCAGCCAAAGATTAACTACCGGATGGGAACTTACGTTTGACCTTGCATCGGGCACTTCATCGTCTGCCTCAGAGTCTTCAGATTCTTCTTCTGCCTCCTGTAACCATTTAACCATTGGGGCACAGTGTGACAAAATCTTTGAGCTCAATTCCCGAGAGACAAACTTCTTAGAAGGCTAAAGGCAAGATAAAACACAAAAATGGATCATACCCCTTTTTCATACCACGCAATGATAACATCCTCCTCGATGATGTCATTATCATACAAAGCCTTCAGTATATGACATGCCTTAGAAAGTAAGTTGTGTTCTGTGTGCCGTTCAATCAGTTTGGCCATGGCACCCAAGACATATTGTTGGGCGCGCTTTTCGTTTCCTCCAACTCTGGTGAACAGTAAGAAAACGGGCGCAAACTTCTTGATATCCCCTATGATTGCGGTAGGGGAAGACAGGAGAGCTTCAGCGAGCACCAGAACGGCACGAGGACCCAGTTCTAGACTATCAGCTTGCTGTCGTATGTCCCGACGGTGCGTCAGTACAGCATTTTTGCGTTGTAGCTGGAGCAAATGCTTATAAAAGACGTCAGCCTTTTCGCTTTCTGATTTGTCAACATCAACGCTCAGGGCCAATGACTGGGCCATTGCTGATAGTTCACTCATTCGTTGCAGTTGTGCCTCTTCGGTCGTGTCTTCGCCCCAGTCATCATCATCGCCTTCGAGCGCGGTTGCAGTAGGACTGTAGCCACTGTTTTCGTCACCAGCGGTGCTGACTTCATGGTCATCTGAAGAGAACGATTAAATTTATACTCATAATACCTGAGGTTCTCTCGCCATTCTTTCCTTTCTTCCCCTTTTTCGGTTTTGCTTTATTCGAAGACGTATCGGGCTCTGGAGGGTTTTTGACAATGTATTGGGTCAGACGGTGAGCTACATCCAATTGACCTTGGCTGCCGCAGGCTTTACAAGTGGTCCCAACTGTTCCAGTCTTCCTATTGACGTGCTAAAAACATTAACATGGAAAGCGAACGCACCATAGTGGTTTCCGGATTTCCACAACCTTGACATAAGACGAACTTCTTGATGAAACCATCTAACAGCTCCTGAAGCTTAGTGGCTTCGTGTGCGCCGTTTACGATATACCGCTCGTTTTTATCATCCACATGAATCTGAGCCCCCAACTCGCAGCCGAAAAATTTCGTCAAGTCTGACATGAACAGTAAACCGAAATTCAACTTACATATTGGTTTACGGTTCAAAGCTTTGGCAATATCAGAAACGTTAACAATCACCGTCTTAATACCATTACCTTTGCCCTCTACCTGGAACAAAATATAATGAAAGTAGACAAGGTACCTTGGCGTTAAGCTTCGGCATTTTGTACCTGTAAAAGGTATCTTCAACCTCTCGATTGATGTTGACCGCCATTGTGGATGACACGAACTACCATCTGCCTCTCGAAAATTGCAGCCTTCAACCATGAAACAGGGTACGGTCCCGGGCTAAAATTGAGATAGAAAATTGTAATACACTACCCCTATGGGTTCGGAAGTAACACGGGAATCATGCAATCAAAGAGTAGTCCAGATGTGTCGTTCTTTTTTCAGTGAGTGACTGTATGCGCGCAATTCGAACCCAACCCCAGCATTTCAATTGGCACCGCCTGTGCTCAGGCAACCTGGTGTTTGCGCTCATGTTCACAAACAAACTTGAATCCTGATCATAATCCAGTGCATATGCGCCTCTAACTTCGTGCCAATTTGAATGAAATTGGCTTGTCCTTGGACGATGACTTGACATCTGAACCACACTCCACGCTGCTGAATGAGCTCGGGAGAGCTCAGGGCAAAAACTTACCGGAAGGTCCGTGGTTCGAACTAAAATCTGTATCTCGACTGTTTCAGTCTTGACCTGAGCAACCCGACATGACTTCAGCTCTCATGCTTCCTTCTGGTGACACGGCAGCTAGGCATCAAAAGGGTGTTGCATCTGAACGACAACTATTATTATACGTGCTGGATTTGTCCTATGCTCACGTGAACCACCGTGTTACTAATTATGATACTGTTTTTCACTTCGCCATACTAATTCCACCATCAATATCGACAATACATCAAGATTCGACACTGATACCTGGCTGGTGTACCTATGTGGTTTGGTTGAAAAACGTATTGTGAATAGGATAAGTGGATGGCGAACGGACTTATTGCTAGCCAATCATGACCACTTTGTGCCCAAACCTCCGGGTACCCATTCAGGTGATCTAGATAAAAGCTGAGAACAGGAATACCACTGACATCACGCAAACGTTCCGTGTTCACTCTCATTGTCGCCGTTCAGCCGTTGCACTCTTCCGGTGCCTACCTGTCATGCCACCAGAAAGATGCACGGGGACTGGGATACCGCCAAGCTGCCCAAGCCTAAACAGGGGAAATCGAGAGGCAGAGGTCGGATTCAAACCACGACCAGTAAATTCGCGCTGTAACCACTGAGCGACCTTGCCATTATCATCCACATAACCTGAGTTTCCAAACCACTTCCAAAATGTGATCCTGACAACCAGATTTACGGTCCCTAGACACAGTTGAAGTGAACAATTAACCGGCGGCATGAGTAAGCCACCCAGGATCTTGACACAATGCGAAGATGTAGCCAGTGCTTCTAAAACTCCGTCGGAATCTTGACTGGAGCTTTCGGACTTGCGTCTCGCATGGCGAATTTAGATGTCACAATACGATTACAGTGGGCTTATCCATTTATGGTCGGAGCAGTTGCTTTGTGAATGACGGTGCAGTGATGTACTGGCCCAAAGTTGCTGGATTGCTAGACTGTAACACTCATTCGGCGCCTAGTTACCGTTATACTTGAAGGAAGCACAATGGCTGATTACCAGAAAACGCCGTTCTCAAATGGGCCTGAGCAACCTGATCAAAATGAAACAAAGTCATGGCCGTCTTTGGACAGTGTTGGTGAATGGTAAGGTTCAGCTCAACGGTCAAGATGTCGGCTCTTGTCATATATTAAATCTCAAGTATTATCCTTGTGTATGGGGTGACGTTTCTAAGCATTCCTAGCTAGGCTAACTTAACCTTCCAGGGGGCCCTTTAATCCACCAGGTCCGTCTGTCGTCCAACAGTTCTTCCAGCTGAATTGTGATCAGCGCAGTACGGCGCAAGAAATCCGACATCAAGTAATCGTGCTGAAGCCGGGAGCGCCTAACGAGTTTCCTGCAGTATGAATCACTGTGATTACCTTTTCTGGATTATCACCAACTTCGCCTCCGGGAGTTTACGTTAAGTTTCACCAAAGTTATAGCTAAGTCTATCTAGATTCAAGGTTGTCAATCGCAATGGGGGAGGCAAGTAGCATTTAACATCTGCTTGTGGATGTAGCATTACTGAGGAACAAGTGATTCGTGCAAAGATGTCGAAGACGACCATTATTATAACTGCACCCTGAGTCTGAACTGAGGGGACCAACAAGTCCCACTTCGGATGAGCCGAGATGTCTCATTTGCAAACAGTCCGAACAGCGGAACTGAAACGCCTGCAGTTGTTCGACATTCGTTATCTCCGGACAATGGCTCGTGTGGGCTGGTGTCGGAGAATACATAACGAGAGAATAGGAAAGCGAGTTTTCGGTTGTGCGATCGAGTTTGCTGATGAATGTGTCCAGCACCAGAAGCTGGGTTGGTTGGGCCATGTATTGCGTAGTTCGAACTACTATTTGTCGAAGAGGATGATTTTTTTCGCGCCCATTCTTATGGGCAGAAGAGAAGTTTGAGAGATTACGAAGCGTTTGTGTTGTCGGTGCAACTCGCCTGCATGACGGGATGGTATGAAACCAAAAACGTAAGTCAACGGACTACTCAGTTGATGTGGCAGGTAAATTTATTCACTTGCACATGGTTCAACTGTAGCGGCCTTCCGGAGCCTAACTGCCATGCCACCCGAAGAATGAGCAGGGGCCGAGATACCTATAAAAATGGCAGCGGGAATTTCGATTCCGCCGGGAGCAGAATATACATCACGATGGTG